CTCCCTATTTCCTGAGACATAACAATATTGAAATCAGGCCAGTTAGTAACCTTACAATGACCTTGAAGTGTTCAAGTAAAAGAAGAGTCACATGTCTCTCACTTAATCAAAAGCTCGAAATGAACAAGCTTAGGGAGGAGGGCTAAGTGGCGCTTACGTTGAAAGTGGAGACAGGCTGAAAGCTAAGCCTGTAGGACCAAACAGTCAGCCGAGGTATGACTGCACAGGAAAAATCCTTGAAGGAAACTAAAAGTATTCCAGTGAATACACAAATGATAAGAGAGAGAAACAGCCTTACTGCTGACGTGGAGAAAGTTTGAGTGGTCTGTTAGAAGATCAAACCAGCCACAACATTCCCCTAAGCCAAAGCCTGATCCAGAGCAAGGCCCTGACTCTCTTCACTTCTGTGAAGGCTGAGAGAGGGGAGCAAGCTGCAGAAGAAAAGTCTGAAGCCAGCAGAGGTTGGTTCGTGAGGTTTAAGGGAAGAAGCCGTCTCCATAACATAAATGTGCAAAGTAAGCAGCTAGTGCTGGTGCAGAAGCTACAGCAAGTTATCCAGAAGATTGACAGAATCCACGAAGGTTGCCGCATTAAACAACAGATTTGCAATGCAAATGAAATAGCCGTATGTAGGAAAAAGATGCCATCTAGGACTTTCATAGCTAGAGAAGAGAAGTCAATGCCTAGCTTCAAATCTTCAAAAGACAGGCTGACTCTCTTGTTAGGGGCGAATGCAGCTGGTGACTTTAAATTAAAACCAATGCTTATTGACCATTCTGAAAATTAAATTAAAACCAATGCTTATTGACCATTCTGAAAATCCTAGGGCCCTTAAGAATCAACCTAAACTACTTTGCCTGTTCTCTGTAAATGCAACAACAAAGCCTAGATGACAGTTTATCTGTTTACAACAGAGTTTAATGAATGTTTTATGCCCATTGTTGAGAAATACTGCTCAGCAAAAAAAGATTCCTTTCAAATTATCACTGCTTGTCGACAAGGTACCTGGTCATCCAAGAGCTCTGATGGAGATTTACAACATGATTAATGTCATTTTCATGCTGGCCAACACAAAATCCATTCTTCAGCCCGTGAATCAAGGAGTGATTTTTACTTTCATGTCTTATTTTTTAAGAAATATATTCCACAGGGCTACAGCTGCCATAGATTGTGATTCATCTGATGGACCTGGACAAAGTAAGTTGAAAACCTTCTGGAAAAGGATTCATATTCTAGATGCCATTAAGAACATCCATGATTCATGGGAAGAGGTTAAAATATCAACATTCACAGAAGTTTGGAAAAAGGGGATTCAAACCCCCATGGATGAGTTTGAGGGGTTCAAGACTTCAGTGGAGGAAGTAACTGTGAATGTGGTGGAAACAGGGAGAGAAGGAGAATTAGAAGTGGAGGCTGAGGGTGGGGCTGAGTTGCTGCACCTCAAGATAAAACTTTAGCAGATGAGGTTCTTGATATGGAATCTACTTTTAATGAACGTGCTGTGAAGACTGATGAAATAATGACAAAGGATTTAGGTAGAATATTACATAAACTTGATTGATAAAGCAGCAGCAGGATTTAAGAGCACTGGCTCCAATTTTTAAAGTTCTGTGGGTAAAATGCATCATGTGCTACTGAGAAATGGTTCATGAAAGGAAGAATCAGTTGATACAAAAGACTTCACTGTTGTCTTATTTTAAGAAATCACCACAGCCACCCCAACCCTCAGTAACCACCACCCTGATCAGTCAGCAGCCATCAACCTCAAGGCAAGACCCTCTATCGGTAAATCCATTTTGACTTGCTGGCAGCTTAGATAATGGTTAGCACTTTTTAGCCATAAAGAATTTTTAAATTAAGGTATATACATTGTTTTTTAGACATTTCATTGCACACTTAACAGACTACAAGATAGTGCAAACATAACTTTTACATGCACTGGGAAGCCAAAAAATTCATTTGACTGGTTTTATTCACTTTATTATGGTGGTCTAGAACTGAATGCACAATATATCTGAGGTATGCCTGTAGTCAGGTTTTCTGTTATTTGAAGCTGAAAGCATTCCTACCAGGTTGTCAAAACAATTTTACCTCCCACAGACCTTGCCTTAGGAAGTTACTAGAAGATGTGCTCCACAAAAACCAGGAATAAAGTAAGAAAGAAAAAGTTATGGTACTCAGAAAACAGGTGATCCAATACAGGAAGGATGCAAGAAGAATTCCCAGCCTCTTGGTAAGAAGAACAGTCCTGAGACAACAGCTGTACCACATGCCTAAAAAGTAACCAGTTTATATTGGAATAGGGGGATATAGGGCTCCAGAAGAGGTAACACCAAGAAAAAATAAATAATGGATAGATTATCTGATGTTTGATCATGTTGAAAGGAATTTAATAGTGCTCCCAGAAACTTTGCATGTAGAGATTGGTATGAAGAGATTGGAAACAAAGCAAACAGTTAAAAGAAAAAAAGCAATTATTAATGCTAGGAACAAAACAGAAAGTTGCAAGAGGGATGAAATGGAACCATTAAACACTGTGTGGCTCAACTGTGAACAATATTTGCAAGGTATTCAAAGCGCAAACATTAAATATTGTTTTTCAAAAATTATGGCAATACTATATTGGAAAGTTGGAAAGAAGAAAAGTCAGTGTGGCTGGGTGAGCAAGGGGGGAGAACGGTAAGAAAGGAGATCATAGAGGAGAACAGGGATTCGGTTATTCAGAGGTTTGGATTTTCTTTCCTTAGCCATGGAAAGCCACTGGAGATTTTTAAACAGGAAACCGGCATGATCCAACTCATGACTGAAAATGATGACTTTGGCTGTGGTCTTGCGAAGAATACTCTGTACAGGGACGGGAGGGAAAGCCAGCAGACTAGTTAGGAGGCTACTACACTAGGGATAAGAGGCTTCTGCAGAAGGGATAAAAGGAATAAAAACGGGTGGCCTGGGTTGGGGAAGACAGGCTTTGAAATGGAGGAAAGTAGGTGGACGTGAATATGTTCTGGAGGTCAGCGGCTTATGGAGGGAAAGGGATGACTCAGGGATGACTTACCATGCGTCAGCATGAGGCATCTGGGGAAGCAGAGGGTGTTATTACTGAGTTGGGAAGGCTGGAGGAGAGGAATGGATTCAGCAGTAGAGGGCTTGGGCTTTAGGATTCTATTTTGGACCTGTGGGGGCTGAGATGCTGAAGGGTACCACATAGGCGATTGATTTGGGGCTCTGGTAACACACAGAGAGACAAAACCCAGAATAAACTGCCTTCAACCAGCAGTAATTCCTCCTTTTCTCTTGCCAACACAAAGTAATGTTTCATTATATACTTGGATTTTTAAGCAACCTCAATGCTATGATTTGGGTCACTGATTAAGACTTGATACTGAGATCTGGAATACACAAGCAATGAATTCTGAGCTATCACAACATGTAACCCATTCAGAGTGATTAGGCCTAGCTGGTTTTCTGTTTTGAGTCATATTCATTCTAAGGAGAAATTCTCTCCGCCAAAGCTATGGTCACAAAATAACAGAAGTCATCCCCTCCATGAAATAATTTCCCATGATTAGCTTGATTTAGTAAACATTTTCCTCAAAAACTATAACATTATCCATGTTCAGTGGACTTCTGTTTATGTGTATAGAGCATTTGCCAAGTTAAAGACCACCTCAGGCACGCTTGGAGATTGCTTCCGTTTTTAAAAGCTCTTTCTCAATAAAACATTCGAAAGGACCAATTTGCACAAAAGCCTTTCAAAGCCCTTTTGACTACTGTTATTCTCATTTGCAGGTCCTAGAATCCTTAACCAAACAGCAGTATTCTTTCTTGGCTTTCTCCTTTCCTCTTACTGCTTTGTGCTCTCCTTTTCTTTAATCATTAATTCCCAAATTGGTCTTCTGCTGTGTGGATGTTAACAAGAGCTGGGTTTTAGCCACATTACAGTAGATGCAGGGGGGTAGGGGGGAGTGGCAATTGCAAAACAAAACGTATCATAAAATGGTAACAGTTATTTATTGGGGCCAGTTGTTGAAAACTCAATCTGTTACATGGAACCATAGAAATGCAGAGTCGGAGGCCAAGGCAAGTCACTCACTGATGGACCCACAGCGCCTCCAGCGGCAAAAAGAGAGCGACGGCGACCGCGGGAAGCTTCCGAATTTTTAAAAGGCACCTGCTGGGTGAGTCCTCATTACGCAAAAAGAAAGGATCCACAGGTGCATCAGGTTAAGGACATGCAACTCGGGAAAATCTAAATCTGTAAAACAGCTATAATACCCACACTTTAGTTTAACTTCGAAATGAGCTGTCGCTTAACACAAGATTGACTTATGCTATTATGTATAGCCAGGAAACTGACGGGAGGGGAGGGAGGCGGAAAAATTCGGCTAAAATTTGGCCGCCGCTGACAGCTAGGAAGCGAGGGTTAGAAAGCTGTAGTAGGTAAGAGTTAAAAAAAAAATTTTTTTTTAAAGGTGACCGTTATGGCACGCAGCAGTCACACCTCCAGAGAAGGGACCCACCTGCGTGGTTCTGTGCATCACCTGCGTGACTATGCGCGCCCCCTCACCCCCACCCCGCTGAGGGTATCCTGGAGGGGGCATAAGTTTGAAGGAGACCTACTCCAGAACCTGGGGTGGGGGGATTCACTAAGGGACAGGGTCAGTAAAATGACCCGAGGCGCATCATCCCAGGCGGGCGACACGTGTAACTGTCAAGACAGCCGCCCTGCCCAGCGACATCCGAGAGGGGAGGGGACGCTGGGGCAGCCGCGAGGCTGTGCCGTCCGGGCTCCGCGCTGGCGGCTGCAGGCTGCCGGGCCCCCAGCCAAGCGCTCCCTCCTTCCCCAGGACCTGGCACCTGAGGAGGGCGTCCTCTCGCGCCGGAGCCCGTCCCCTGGGCTCCGCAGACGCTCCCGGGGGCGCCGCCGGTCCGGGCAGCCCCGCCACTCGGCACCCCCCTCCCTCCAGTACTGCACGAGGTGCATGGGGACGGCGACTTACCGCGGGCGGCGGGGGGCGCCAGCAGAGCCGCGGCCAGGGCGAGCAGGAGGGCGCGGGCCGGGGGCGCGGGCGGCGGGCGCGCGGCCATGGGCGCGGGCCTGCGGCGCCGCAGCTCCCGGGGCCGGGCGGCGGGCGCTGCACCAGCTCACGCGGGCGCCCGGCAGGGACTCGGCTGCGAACGCCTCGCGCAGCGCCCGCGCCGCCGAGCAGCGAGTCTAGGCTTTCATTTTTTAAAAAAAGTTTTTCCCCGTGTGTGCGTGTGCGCGCGCGCGCTGTGCTGGCACGAGCCGGCCTTGACCGTTGCAATAAACGAGCAAACTGTCCGACTTGGCCCGGCGACGAGAAGATCGTCAGGCAGAGAAGGCAGGCCTGTGAAATGGATCCACGGCCAACAGTCACCGTGCTCATTACCACGGAACAAATTATCTTCTCCCCCGCACCCCGCCCGGCGGCGGCGTCCCGCGGGTCCTAGAGACCGCTCGGGGTGCCCGCCAGGGTCCCGCCCCGGGTCGGCGCTCGCCCACCGGGCGGCTAGCGGCTGGGCGCCTCCCGGGCCATGCGCCCCGGCGGCACAGACGTGGCTCGGTGGCGGCGCAGGCGTCCGGAGCGCACCTCCCGCCCCAGGATGATGTGGCCGCGGGGCCCGGGGCGCCCGGCTGCCAAGAGCACACGCGCTGCACGGTCCAGCTTTCCAGTCTGAGGCTGGAAATGATGACTCGGCGGCTCGCTCCCGGCTCGCCGGGAACCCGCGGAACGTGGGTAGCATGTCTGGAAGGCTGTCAGGAGCCCAGGCCCGTCCCCTAAACCCCCAAACGGACATCTTGGGCCTGAGAAATAAACGTGGACTCGCAGGCACGCGACCTCTGGGCATCGCGCTTTTGCTGTATTGCTTTAGGTTTTATGACGGCGGGTTGACTCATTTATTTTCCACGGCAAAGACTCAGTAAAGTGTGTCCGGCGGTGTTGCCCAAACTTCCCCGATCTGTGTTTGCCTCTTAAAAATACAGATTCCCGGCCACCCTCCCATGCCTTTGGAATCAGAGTTTCCAGGTCGCGGAGCCGGGAAGAGCCAGGTGTTTGGGAGACACCAGTGAAGTGAATGGGAATCCTTCTTCCTCCTCCCCTTGGCAGCCTGGCAGGGCCATAGTCTCAGGTTTTGTAAGAGGACTTGGCGCTCTTGGAGCCCAGCGCTGGATCCATCAGGGGTGGTTTCCACCACCCGCCTTGAGGGCGATGGTGATTCCCATCTCGGGGACCTGCAGAACCGGGGGATTAATGCAGTAATACCACCCCCACCCGGACTGATAAACTCAGAATCTCCTAAAATGGGCGGAGCCTGCAGTTTTCAAAGCCCAAGTGATTCCACTGTGCGAATCTTAGGTATCTGTCCTGTGGCGTCCCCCAGGTCTGACAGAGACCCATTCCAAGAGGCGGTAAGCCACCCTTTGGGGAAACTCCCCTCTTTACCACGTCTTCCTACTGGAAAGATACTTATTCTATCTCCTTCCCATCCCCAGGTCTTTGCAGTGTTCCTTCCCGAGAACCAGGTCAACCCTCTTCTCAACCAAGTGCAGGCCTTTGTTCAAAAAAAGAAAAGCACCCCCTCTTGGTGCCAGGACATCTCAACACTCCACCTGGAAACATGGCCCAGTCTGAGCCCCCGTTTAAACCCAGCCCTACTGCTTATGCCTCTGCTGCCTTCTTTGTCCATTCATTCCCACCATCAGCAGAGCCTCAATGTGAAACGCCTCCTGCCTTCAAAGACTTTTCTGTTCGATAGGACAGACTAATAAATCATGACTATTGCACTGTGTGAGCTGGTTACTCTACCTATTTCATAATCATTCAGTGGTTTGTTAACTACATTATTACATATTTCACATGGGAGTATTGTGCCAAAATGCTTTCTATGCATTGTTTCATATTAAAATCCTGAATATGTAGATAATACGTAGGTAAAATATATAAAGGTAAGTAGCTTTCCCATGGTGGCAGGACCAAGAAGTAGGCGCCAGGCCACACGGCATGGTTGAAGACACAGACAGTGACTGTCTTTAGCTGTGACTTCCAAGCTTCAGGCTCAGCACCTGTTAAGTGAAAGTAAAAGCCACACCTCCCAGGTAGTGGTGAGCATTTAAAGAGCTGATGCAATGCCTTCCCCACCCCAGGGATTCCTGACGCTGCTTAAGAATTCAAATCTTCTGGAATGTACACTGGAAATTCTTATTGGGAAGAGTTGGAAAGGCCAGTTTTAGCAAGCGCTCAAATGGTTCTGATTCTTGGGTTCCATAGAACCTTCAGAAATACCACCCAAGAGAATTAAAAACTGTTTTCTTTGAGGTCAACGGGACAGACTAGCTTTAGAATGAGTCCAGCTGCTGCACTTGAATTTTTCTTGATACCAGATCTTTCCTGATTGCATCTTCAGTCTTTCTGACTGGTTAAATTGTTTATTCATAATGGACCTCATATGTGCTGTGCACTGGCTGGGGCTGTAATGCACTTTCTCTCCTAATGATCCATTTCTTTTCATTCTTTAATATTCAGCTATCACTCTTGACTGTAGAAGTCTGATTTTTTTTTTTTTTTTGCAAAGCCTGGAAGTTGCAAACCTCTCTCCAAGATCTAAATCTGCCCCAAGACTATTCTAGGTTTGTTTTTGACTAAATGGAACAAAACAGCCGATGCAGGGGAAAAAGACAGGAAAGAAAATCATAGAAGCCGCAACGCCTGGTTTCTTAACCGTCTGGTTCCCCACCTCCATGAAGCAAGGAGTCTGGGCTGACACCTTATCCGTAAAGACTTCACGCTCATCCATAACAACCAGCTAGGCAGAGACAGAATCTTACGTCCGGCAGATGGTTGGCCTTTGGAGGGGAGTCCTGCCTGCCCCTTCACAGGAAATGGGAGCTGACATGGCATTCAATACTGGATTGTTAGGTAATGGTATGGGGTCAGAGGCCAGGATCTGCTCATTAAAATTTCAGATAGATGGCTTGTTGTCCCTTCCTTTCCAGAAGAATTGACCTTTGCAATGCCTTTTCCTGTGTGCTATTTTTATTTAACAGCCTGGGCATTCACAATGAACAGGGCACTTACTACTTATCCAACCTCACATTTGGCTCAACCTACTTTGACTATGAACAGATGAAAAACGGAGGTGGATTTTCCTAAGCCAGGGATTCACAGGCAGCCACGCCTGATTTCTGCAGTAAGGAAAGGGCCAGTCTCCCTGCAGCTTGACCTATTGATGGGGCTTCAGACACACGCTCACAGAACAGCTTTTATCTATCACAGCACAGTTCCCAAGGCTTGCTGCAAAAGTAAACAAACACAACTGCCCCATGATTAAGATTCATGGAAATCTTTTTAATTCCATCTCTTGAAGAGATGGAAATTCACGATGTTGCCAGACTGCAAGAGCCTCCAATCCGTCCTGCTTTTCACGGACCTCTCTCTCCAGGAACCCATGCCTCACTTCAAGAGGCTTCTTTCTCACTTGTCCCTTCTCGAACGCTGAAGAAAGAAGGATGCTTTTGGGAGATCGGGGACTCACGGATGCTCTGGGTCAGAAAGGACATGATGGTCACTTGGCCAACTTAGTTGGCCACCCCCATCTATACTCATCTGTGTCATCCTGACAACTGCCCATCCAGCTCCCCTTTGTATACCTACTGTGATGGTGAACTCATTACCTCCCAAGAGAGCCCATGTGTAAGTAAAACAAGCGACTGACAGCCCACAGGCACAGAGAGCCACTGCCACAGCCGGAACACCAGCTGTGAGACAGGTCCTGGCTGCATGCACCTGTCCCTTCCCACTGTGGCTGGGCCAGGCTGAACGCAAAGGCAGTGCTCAGAGAGAAGCAAGCAAGGAGTCTCACAAACAAACATGAACTCACATGACCAAAGCATTGAAGATCCTCCTTCATTCAAAAAGTAAGGTTTAATCTCCCTGCCTTTTTATGCGGGCTGGGCTTAGAGACTCCTTCTAATGAATACGATACAGCCAAAGTGCCCAGACCATGGAAGACATAACACAGATCCCTCTCTCCAGGGGAAGTCAGCTGCCCTGTGACGAGACCCTCACACAGCCCAATGGGGTAGAACTGAGGTGGGAAACTTGGGTCTCCTGCCATCACCACGGAACGAGCCCTCTGGGAAGTGGATCTTCCAGCCACTGACACATTTTCTGCTGCTGACAGCACACGGCAATATCTGACTGCAAACTTCTGCAAGACCTGGAGGCAGACCTGCTAAGCTATTCCCAAACTCCTCACCCACAGGAACTGCATGAGATAATGAATATTTGTTGTTTTGAGCCAAAATGTTTGTTATTTTGGGTGGGGGGTAATTTATTAGGCAGCAATAGATGACTAATACACATTTAATAAAGCAAACATTCCATTTCTCTGTTTATTCTAGCTTGCAAGGATTCCTGATCATTTCACTATCAAGGGCACTCCTCCCCCTTCTGGTACGACCTTTGAATATGAGTGATAGATTGGTGGTCATAGGTCCCAGTTATGACCCAGCGTCCTTATCAACAGCACACCCCATTCACTCTCACAAGCATCCCGGTTTGCTAGCAAACTGCACCATTATCCTATCTGTAGATAAATACGTCTTTTAAATGGTGTTTTGGGTCCAGGAGTGGAAGGCAGACACTGGCTTAGTCCTATGTCCTGACTCAGTTCCTTCTGTGAATGATGGTTGAATGCGTAACTGAACTCACAGTGATAGACAATGAGCGTGGTAACAGCCATGACAACTAACTCTCCAGGGGGATGGAGTTTCAGAAGGTTCTCTGAGTATTTTCCCTGCATGGTCAGCCAGTCATGCAGTGATCTGATCTAAACTGCCACTTCCGGAGGCTGTAAGACATTTTTTACCAGGTGCCAAAAAACCTGCGGGCATTTGCCGGGGACTATATCTTGAACACATCAAAGAGGAAATGCGATTTAAAGTCGTGCCTGCTCTTGCATGGAGAGACCCACCAGAGAGAGCAGAGGTTGGCCACTCACTCCTCAGGTTTCTGCTCCAAAAAGATGCATGGGTTCCCAGAAGCCAGGACAGCTGGGGTTGGTGG